CAGCTGTGGTTACTTTCCATGTTCCGTCGAAGGGTGTTCTTCAGGTTACTTTGTGCTTTCTTGTTTCTGTACTGATGATTTTTTCAGCAAAAGGATCATGTTAGTTATGATTTGTGGTTTAATTCTTTCTGCATTGAACTTAGGCATATTCAACTCCAATGTTTCCTCTAGATGTGCTTGCAGAAACCATACCGGAGAAGAAGCTTGAATGGGTAATGCATTGTTTTCGTTTAAATTACTTGATTCATCGACATTCTTGGCTCCTTCTTATTAATTTAACTAACCCCTGACTGTTCTCTGTTTTCATGGAATTGTTCTTGAACGCGTCTAAAATTCAGGCAAAGGTATGTCGAAATCGGGTAGTCTCTTTGTTAAAAGTTTTACCTAGAGACACTGATATGTGACAGTTCAACAAACATCATGCATCATTGAATCATGTTGATGTTATCTTATGATGATTGTGATTTTTCGATCTGCAGAGATTGGTGGGTAAATTTGGACCTCAAGTCTCGGTGATTTCGATTATTGTGACGTTTGTGTATTTGATCGCAACTCCATCAAAGGGAAGCAAGAAGAAGCGTTGAGATTAAGCTTTGCTCTGAGCATCATCACCTTTTCATTACAGCAAAAAAAGATCTCTTCTTTTTTGTTGTTGTTGGGGACATTTCTCATTTGTAGTTGACTTTTTTTTGTGCTGTGTATCTTTTGAATCAGACTAAAGAACAATACCACGCTAATCATTTGGAATTGTTTTGAGTTTTCTTTTGGAAATGGGTAGGTAGTGCGACAATCTTTTATGTTTCTTATAATCTTTATGCCCCCTATATTATGGTTCGGATGGTATACAATGAAGGTCTCGTCGTATGGTGTGGCTCGCGAGCGTAATACGCAAGGGAAGATATAATCTCGGTTCTCAAAAATCTGATTTAATTCGTTAAAATACATTACTTCGAGATTGAAACACTAAATGTAACAAAGTTTTTTACACTATTCTTTTGTTTTGTTTGAGAGTTTTTGGTTATTTGCTTAATTATATTTTTCTTTTTTGCTTATACGGCAAATTAACCCTATATGTTAATGTAATCTAAAACTTAATAATGTTGATCAATTCCAAAAATAAACTCGCACTCACTTCCTATTTCTTTTCTTTTTTGGGTTGATTTATTTAATTTTTTTGGTTAGTCACTTGTGTTTTCTTGCATATATATATTATACTCACTCACAAAAATCTTTTTCCTTCTTTCTTGAAAATGATGGTACGCACACACGAATATACTTATATAATTCACATGCTGACCACTAAGGTAATAAGATAGTAAACAAAATATTGACTTAAACTAGAGTTTAATGTTCTAGTGAATTTTTCAAAAAAAAAAAAAAAGTTCTAGAGAAGAGGAGAGAAAAGAGGATGCAATTGAATTTTGGATCAGAACTTTTGCAACACTTGTTCACCATTCACCTTCCACTCGTTTCCTTCCTCTTGGTGCATCCTTTGAACCTAACCTCTCTTTTAAAACTATGGTTGAGTTTTTATTAACGAGCATTAAATCTCGCTCCGTTGCTATCATCATAATCTTTCTCAGTATCCTTTTAAATCTCTTCTTCCAAAACCTTCGATCTTTAATGTGAGTTACACAAATGTCACTCTTTACCACAAATAGTAACAGATAAAATAAATAAAAACCCAAAACTTGGTTAATTATATACTCCATATGACTAATGAATCTATCTCCTTAGTGTGTCCAATGATCTTGTATTTTTTAATGGTTTTAATACAACACTAGTTTTGATATATGAAGACCAACCATATTAGGATATGTGTGATACACGCGTAAAAATATATAGAAAAATATTATTATAGAATATGTGAATTTTGAAATTGGTAAATTAAGTAATTAACTAGATTCTAAATTATGTCCACGTAGCACGTAAATTTGTTTATTCAAAACCAAATTAAAAGTCTTCACTACTTAATTGTAACTAACAATTAATTGTATATTATCATTATCTCAATTTAAAATATGTATCTTCGCATAAACTG